AGCAAGACAAGTACGAGGTCATACCCACGAGAACTGAGAAGTTAAACTTAGTTATGTACTTAGATTACTGAATTCAAGAAAGTAGGAAGTTAAGTCTACAACAGAATTTAAAATGAGAGTGATTGTGATTGTCAAAGAAATGAAGCAAAATGAAATTGCAAACAAAAGCAAAGTAAGCAAATGCAACAAAGGGTGGTTTTGAAGGTTGAAAAACAAATTTGGAGAATAGGGTATTCGATTCACCGTAACAATTCAATTCTAGTTTATAAGGATTCAAGTGACAAGTCTAATTCATATTCAAAGATTGATTTTAGCTAAAGTATGATTAAGCCATGATGTCTGGTCCTAACCTTGTATTCCTAATTCCCTAATTAGATCTTTGTTGTTGAACCTAAATTAAGCATTAGAAATCCATTAAGCATAGAAAAATGTTTTAAACAACCAAACATATATCTAATCTGTGTTGTCGAATGTCCAAACATACTCTTCCTATTCATAGTTCAATTAGAATTAAAGCATATGATGTCTACTCTTAATTCCAACCCAAGATACACAAATCGGAATGATAGCTAGGCATTCCGATTAGCATATAGGCAGGTGGGCATAATGAATAAGAACATGAATCATGAATTAAACTTGAAACTTGAAATTTATAAACCCATAATATTTATGTTAGGTTACATCGAAGCCCTAGTTGTGGATTTAGCTACTCATAATTGTTTGGGCCTAAATTAAATGTGCCCAGCCCAACACAGAGAAAGCCCAGAATAAAAGCCACAGGACTTAAGCAGTTTGGGCTTTTGCAAAACGGAAGGCAAAGCCCAAAATCCAGATAGGCCAGCCCAAGACTCATCAAAATGTGGCAAGAAAACTTGGGCCCCAAAAGAAAAGCAGTTACCTTTAGGCTCCAGACAAAACAGAATGGGCCCAGCATGATTAAAAGAAAAAAAAGGAAGAGACATGTTTTCAGAACCCACGTGACTACCAAAATGGAAAAGTCAACAAACTCAACTGAGTTGATTGAGAATTAATTAAAGCAGGTCAGTGGCAAAAAGACTTCTCTGAATTTCTACCACCAGAAGATCAAAATCCTTCTTATATATTCAAAAATATTGATTCCACTCCAAGAAGGCACCATCCTTTCAAGAGATACGCAGGCCATATTTTCAAAAAAAGAGATAAGCAGAAGGACAGAGAGTTGTTCATTTGGGAAATCAAACTAACCATCACGGTTGAAATCTCACAAGGGGCAGTTAAAATTGGGAAAGGAGATTAGGTTCTTTTTCAAGAAAAACAGGGAAGTGATCTTAAGAACTGACTATTGAGAGCTTATCTACCAGAAATTGATCAAAACCCCCTTTCTTTACAATTAAAAATAAAAGATCTTTTTTAAGAAATTGCCGCCCATTATTTAAAAAGAATTGCCCTACTCCAGATAAAATCTCTTATAAATACAAGAAGGAGTGAACAGGGCAAAAGGACTCTCAATTCAACAACAATCAATCCAACACTCAAGTCATCAATCAAACAAACAACTCAAAATCAACCAAAAGCTCACTTGAATTCCAAGTGAAAACCAGCTTTAGATCAGAATTTCCAAGGTTCAGACTTAGAAAATAAGTCATTCAAAACGAGATTTCTCTCGTTACAAATTTGGTTCAGTAAAAAACCAAGACAGGTAGAGCTTGAGCTTTTCCCAAACATGAAAACCTTAACAAATTTTACAGTGCAGTCTCTAGCCCACTGAAGTCCTCGAGAACAGCCACTTCTGCCCTTACAGACTAAAGAAGCCGCAGTTCTGCCCACTCAGAAGCCTCACAAAAGCTTGAAGTGCATTAAAGCTCCGCCAAAATTAACCTTTGGTATCGATCTACAGCTGAAGCTTAGCAGCAGCAGTTGTTAACAGTCCAGTCCAGTCCAAATATTTCCAGTCCAGCCCAGATCAGAACCCTCTATCCTGGCAGAAATGGAGTTCCAACTGTCCTTTCTTCTTTCTAGCTTGGATATTTATGTTTATAGTTTTGTAAAAGGCAGTTCTGCCTAAGACAGCTTAAATTCCATCAACCATTCTGGCCAGAACAACCTCTTTATACTGAGATAAATTGTTAAAGTCATCACCAGTCTGAGGCAAGAAAAGAACTTACTTGGGATATATTCCTCACCCAAATTCACAATCGCTTGTTTATGGAAATCAGTAATTTGGGGCGCAAGTTATCTATTCTAGAATAAGTCTGCTAGAATCTTCATTGCTAGCAGTGGCACGCTCGTACACCAAAGAAAGCTGACTTGCTGACCAGCCAATGGTTCACAAGACAGTGGGGAACTTTGCCCTTCCACCACAAGAGTGATCACAAAACGGGTGAACAATAATGGGAAGGAAACTTAAACAGAAATGAGAAAACATAATGAATGCAATAAGAGTAGAAAAACCTTTTTCGGCAGTTCTTGTGGTGTCCAATGCTTCTCCTAGAAGGATGTATGAAGGTTAAGGAGTTGATTTGGGATAAGTTTGGGTGAGTAGTGATGGCTGAGAAAGAGGAAATGAGTAGGGAAATGGAAGTAAGGCTTGCTGGGATCGTTTTGGTGATTTAGGGCTGTTTAGAGTGGTGGGTTGATTGCTGGAGTGTTTGGGGTTGTTGGAGTGTTTGAGGGTGATTTTTGAATGTGTTTGGGGAATGATGAGAGTGTGGAGGATGGATGGAGTGATTTGTGGGATTGTGAATCCTAGGATGTGTGTCATTTTAGTGTGGAATGGAAGTGGTATTTATAAGGAGAAAGAAGTGAGAAATCTGAATTGAGTATGGCTATCACCTACAATACTCACTTCACCAACCTTACCTAACACACCAATGCAATTCAAAGTTAATTTCTTTTTTTATTTGGATGCTGCACTTCACCAACAAATCTCACCAGAAACCATAGCTCATGCATTGCTCATCATGACCAAGCAACAATTAGCTCATCCTTAGGTCATCATGACTAGCAACTTCATGGGCTCTTGAATTAGGCTTCCCTTAAGCAACTAATGACTTTGAGCCATCCATCTTGAAGTTCAGAATGTCATCTTTCAAACCACATGTCATTTGGGCCAATCCAAGGTCGAAGGAAGGAATTAAGGCTGAAACGAATTGCTAACTCAATCTGCATGTTTTTGCACCATTTTGCATATTTTCCTATCCAAAACCACAATTGCTACCTAAAGTTCAATGAACTGAATGATAAACACAGAAGAGATTAACAACACAAGTTTAACTCAAAAACATAGCTAAATTAGAAGCTAGAAGTGTTCAAAATGATAAACAATTATGAACTTATCAATAAACCATTGTCTTCAAAACAAACCACAATATACAATTCGCACCAAAGCCAAGAATAAATAAAGAATCTAAAGGTCCTCCTGCTTCTGTCATTGTCAGATTCAATTTACACCTTCCCTGTTGAAGATTCGATTGGTTTACCCAGATTTTGAAATCACCCAATTGAAGATATGGTCAACGAATCTTCAACTGTTGATATGTAAATCACCCAATCTTCAATTGTTGAAGATTCAATGAACTTGTGCAAACGATGAGAGCTCTGTTTTACCCTAATTGAAGATATGGTCGATGTTTTCCCTCTTCTGTTGATATGTAACCTATTTTACCTCAATTAAATTTTTTTTTTTTTTGGGGTATAATCTTTTACCCTAATTCGAACTCATTTCCTATTTACATCTATTGTGGATTTCGCCTTTTTGCCACTTCAACGCCTACATAGATAAAAGAACCTAGAAAAACAGCACATGGGTGTCACATGTGCAAGTTTGAGTTTGACGACTTCTATTAAGGCGGCTAGATGGAATCCAAACAAACTGAGACACTAAATAGAGTTTCATAGGGGAAAGTGGGACACTTAAGAGTTTCGCGTGAAGAGGGGGGGGGGGGGAAGCATTGAGACTGAAATTGAGTTACAGGGGCATTTCAATAATTTAGCCTATTTAAAATTGGCCACGTCTTTTCTGGCTGCAGATTAATAGACACATGTTATCCGTGGCTGTTGGAATCGTACACTAGGACAAATCTAGTTGGCCACAACGTTTAATTAGTTAATAGCTACTAGGTGGTCCCTTGCAAATTTTTTGTACACATAAACGTAGGGTTTGTAGCTACTAGAGTAGAAAATGTCTCTATTTTGCTACAAAGGCCTTGTTAGACCATCTCCAACCATGTTGGGGCTAAACTCAAATTTTCACCCTCCAAAATACAACTATTCATGTATTTTCAGGACTCAAAATTTTTTTTCCTCCAACCTTGCAGACTCATAATTTGAGTACGCAACTTTATTAAATTGTTTAAGAATGATTAACCCCTAATTTTTTTTTCTTGTTCATTTTTCTTAACGTTATTTTTGTTTCAATACTCGTGATTTAATTTTTTAAACATTTTAACATAAAAAAATTAAAATTCCAAAACATAATAGAATTTCACTTAAAAATAAAAACAAGTACAACACCATACGTATGCCTGGACTAATTCGAACCCTTCATTGAAGCCATTGCCATAATTTTCTTCCATTTTTACTTTGACTTTTACTTCATTGGATTCCTTTATCCTCATT